GGAAGGAGCATTTAAAGTAGAAATGGGTACACCAACATTTACTATGCATATTAATAAATATTCTTTATTTAAATTTTGCACATTGCGCTTTAACATATTACATCCAAAAACGTTTTGCAAATGGATGTCTACTTTGTAAAATCTTATATTCAGCTCATTGTCATTCTGTACAGAATTATAGGTACAACATTACTTTGCCACTAGTTTGCTTCTTGTAAGTCTCACAGTAAGAGAAACATTTAATGAAAAGAGATGGCTTAAATTATAAGAGGCTTGCACAGCTACTCAACTAAAGATACAAGCCTGAAGAACAAAATTAGTGAAATCACCTCCACCAGTCTCCCCAGAAAACCAAGAAAAAAAAAATCACATTAATTTAAGATAAATTTTTGCCATAAGTCACTAAATTAAGTTTTCGAAAAAGAAGGCGCAGTAGTCATCTTGAGAATTTCAACGAAAGACAGCCATTTTATTTATTTAGTTCGCTCCAGCCGTTGTCAACCAACCGTTACAAATGGGCCTCTTGTGATCATTTAGGCGGCAGTATTTGTTAAATTTCTCCTTCAGATGCTGTCGGTATTGTTCTCTATTGCTGTAAAAAGACTTGTTGTTTGCCATAAAGGACTGTATTTCATCTTGTGAGATAAAGATTTCCTCGTCAGAAGTGCATTCAGACTCATCCTACAAATGAAAACAGGTATTTTAAGAACTGGAGCACTGCCCTTCCGGCGCACTACACCCGTCTCCCAGTCCTACACCGTGCCTACAGCTGCTGTGCAGAAAGATGTGGCCCTCATGTCACAACACCACGCGCAGCTGCCTAACCCAGTCACAGGATTCACACACAATGCTCCAAGATTTTTTGGGTAAGAGGCAGCCTGTATAGTCACAGAATCAGAATAAGCTTGAGAGTTTTAGTATGTTTCTAATGAAAGAGGATGCCTTTTATTAGCTTAAAAAAAACCAACAAAAACAACCCTGCTCTAAAGCAAAGAGAAGGAGAATGAGGGAAGGAAAGGGAGAGAGAAGAAAGTTGTCCAAGGAGCATGTAGTGGGAAGTAATATTTGAGGCATGAAGGCAGCAATAATGCATGCTTCATTTTATGGAATAATACAGTCCTTGGTAATGAATGCTTCTAACACAAGTTCTGTCACTTGCATTCCAGTGACAGGCAATTCCTCCTCCTCTGCAAAGCATCCGAGTTGTTAGGTTGTACAGAGAACACACAAAAGCAAACTAACTAAACACTGGGAGAGTAAGCAGTGAACCTTAGGTTCAGTAATGTTCTCTCCTGTAACATTTCTTTAGCAGGATTTGAGTTCTAAACCCCATCCGCAACCCCAAGGAATAAAAGCAGTATGCTAAAGCCTAAAAATGCAAAGTGGTTACTTACAAGGAGTTCCACTAAGCTCTTGGCACCTTTTCCAGTATTAGGAACAAGTGACGTTTCTGTAGGTTCTGCAAACCGTGACACATTTTTCACGTGCTCAAACCAAGGCAACTGCTGCCCGCTTTTTTCTGAACTACAGCAGCTTTCAGCATGCGTCTCTTTGGTCTTGTCACGATGAAACTCTGTGTGCATGGTATTTCCTGAGATCTCTCTGTTACCTGGATCTGCCATACAGCTTCCAAGTTTCTGAATCTAAAATTGAAAATAGCCTGTCATGAACTACTAGCAGTGTTAAACTTGAAACATTCAAGTTTCAGTTGTAAGCAGAGGGAAAGGAAAAGGTTCAGAAAGAGAGCAGAGATATGTATTTTTTTAAGTGTGTGTGCCTGGGGAGGAAAGGGGAATGACATGTTTTTCACTGAGAGTGCACAAAAGTGCACATGCTCAGGACCACAGGAAAGAAAAGACTCCTTCCGCCACAGCCTGCTCAAAGGACACCAGTGTCAAAACCTGACCAGAGGTAACAGGAGATCCTCATTACCTCACTTACAGCATTAGTCACAATTATAATTTAAAATACTTCAGTAACAACTTTAAAACATACGCATTTAAATAAGTATTCTAGGATAGCTATGTTCCTTACGTGCTCATTCTCACACTTCAAAGTTTTACTTTTCTTTTTCTTCTTTTTGTTTTTGCCTTTTGTGTTACTCTCTTCCGAATTAGCCCAACACTCCACGCAGCTATCTCCATCCTCCTCTTTGTCATCACAGCGATGGATGCATGAATCATCTCCTGCAAGAGACAGGGAGTTTTCTTCTCAAATACATTAAGTTTCGGGGACACTAAACCAGTATTGTGTTCTTACCAAACCTACCATTTTCGTCGTGGTTGCAAATGCCTTCGGTGCAAGCCACATCTGACCCCTCTCGAGATCCTGTTTCACTGCCCTCCATGCTCGATGAATAGCCACAATCACTACCGTTACAATGCGGAGATAAACCTGAGACAAAGAGAAAAGTTACAGTGATCTATAAGCAACTGTTGCACATTCTTTAGTTATGACTCTAACAAGGAAGAATTATTGAACTGATTTTTTAAAACAGCCGAGCACTGTTTATCCTACAAATGGTACATGTTTTTAAAAATGAAAAATAATGACATTTAACATACCTTTCTTGATTTTAGGTGAACCTAATAAGGTACCACTACCAGGACAGGTGCAAGAAGTGCTTTCATTAGTAACAATTACTTCTACACAATTGTTAGCTTCTTCAGTGCTACCACAGGCTTTGCAGCTGCTTTCCGTGAAGTTTGAATTTTCCTTAAAACAAAACCAAAAAGATACTTGTAACTACTGAAAGTAGCTCAGCCAGCAGCTTCATAAAGGATACTCTTTCCACAAGAGAAAACACAGCTGACACTGACTGCTAACAGCCACAGCATTGCTTATAATTCTTCAGAAGTACAAGACAACTAAAAAAAATCAAAACCTACTTTCCCCACAATAATATGACCACAGTTAGCCTATTAAATTCACCCAAGAGATTTAGAATAGTAACTGCACTTAATCAATTAAAGCTTTACCCTCCCCAAAAATTGAATGTTAATTGTCTGCAGCTAGCATTTCAGTTCCCATCTTCTAAGTGATCTTTAAGAAATCATAGTTGAAAAATAAAACCTGACCCTCTAGACTTAGGATTTTTTTTTAATTAAAAAAAAAAAACCAAACCACCAAATCCAAACTCCCAGAAGTTAACGAGTTCCAGGCAACTACTTTACAAAAAGACTGTACTAATCTGAAGAAAAAGTATTGAATTCCAGTAGCGATTCAAAACTAGTTCCCAAAACTGAAATACAGCAAAAACCTCAAGAATTTTAACATGGAACAGAGCTTGTGAATGAAGCATCAAATTAGAAATCAAGTTATTTAGCAGCAGCAGAAAGCCAGAGCTATCAGCGTTTACCTTTGCTTGACTTATTTCCTTCTCTTCTGTGGCCTGCAAAGGAGTAGGGATCTCACACACACACTTATTTTTCCGTCTGTTCTTTCGTTTTTGGCGCTTCTTCTCTTGTTTAAGCTCTCGCACTCTTTCTTCTTCTGAGAACTCTTCACAGAGCTGTTCCAATCGACTAATACCCTGCACTTTTTCCACAGCCATCTGTTTATAAGGAGGTTAGATCTATTTACAGGTGTTAACACAATTCAAAGTTTTACATTTATAAAAGAGGAGGAGGAAAATAGCTGGTAAGTACTTTTGATAATAAAGTCACAGCAACACAACAATTGACTATAAAAGAAAAATGCCTATCCAGATTTAGACACTAAATTTATATTGCTAGAGATATACGTACGGGGGAAGCACTATGTTTAACTTATGGCCCAAATTGACAATTTTCAGTAAAAAGCTGCAGACTCAAATGCAATTTTGGACAAGGAATAAGACACCTTAAAATTAGTATAATGTTGTCCAATTTAACTGCACAAGTGGAAGCTTTAGCAGTCCTTACTAATGATAGTTTTGAATTGCTACAAACTGTCTTGAAAACTGAACAGGGAGTATGCAGATTCCTGAAGGGAAACTATTAACTAGAAGAGTAAGTATTGCTGTCAGTTGTGTTAAAAGAACTGTCCAAAAATCTATCTCCCAGGTAAGGGTTCACCCAGAAACTGGGGAATGGAATACATGGCTCTACTAAAACACAGAGATGAAACTTGAACATCAGCCAATTATAACATAAGTGGTTGAATTGTGACTCAGGTCATGGGGTGGTCTGTGGGGATGGAAGAGGAGAATCCAATCGATGTCCCAGGTATTGATACCTTAAATTGAAATCCAAATTTGAGTGCTTGGGTATGACTATAGCCACAGGGTGGGATTGTAGAGTGAGAGCAGAAGTTAGCCACAAAGTCCAAGTCATGTTCACCACGTAGCTGCGTGCCTGGAGGCATGAAACTCAGCACTGGGCGAGGTGGCAACCATCACTAGATCTATATCTCGTATTATCTGGATGCCTGGAGGAATGTGAGATGAGGCGGAGGCCTCATGGTCCCAGTCCCTCATTTCTTTCAGCCCCAGACAAAGGGGCCATTACCTCTACCCATGCAGGTGTGAATTAACGGACTTCGTGACATTAACATAACTGATAAGATTGTCTATAGTCATCCCCACCCGCATGTATGCCCTGGTGAGGTAATGCAGAAGTTTGAGTAATAACTAAAGACAAACACCCCAGGTGGTCTAATTCACTCAGGCATCCCCCTGTCACGTACATCAGGGGATAACAAACCTAGGATTCATGCTAGAAATGGGGAGTTACTTCTCCAGCCATGGAGTGATGAGAACCTTCCCCCTTGGTCGCAATGCTGGCCAAGGTAACTTACGTGGGAGCCCTTACATGGGGGGACAGGATGAACTCGGAACTATACCAATGAACTGGACAGTGACGAATTCGCTCCCTCTCCATCCCCACCACTCGGGTCACCTTGTGGGTAAGATTATTTACCTCAGCTAATGCTGAGTGATAGATTTTCTCCTCAGGTTCATATACCCTGAGTGTATTTTATATATCTCCTCAGGTGCAGTTCTAGGTTTCCCTGAGTGTATTGGCTTTGCTCCACCGTATTTCTGTTCAAATGGGCTTGTCTATTTGCCAGGCGGCCAGGCTCACTGTGGGCAAGTTATTGTTGTTGGTGTTTGTGTGTTTCATAGTGCGTTGTTGTTGTTATTAGTTATAAAACCTTTAGTGTACCTGTAGCTTCTTAATTTATCACCGGCAATCCAAAAGAACCTGTAAATGCTGCTGTAAATAAATGATTAGTATTTGTTTCCCGACTTGTGTCTGTCGCGTATTCGGTGCCAGCCTCACAAGACCGGATTTATTTCCCCGTTTTCGCAACAGGGAAGCGCTGTGTTTAACTTATGGCCCAATTTTACAATTTTCAGTAAGAAGTTGCAGAGTCAAATGCATTTTTGGATTTGCATTTACACAGTAGATACTCTGATTATTTAACACAGCAGCACAAAAAACTACATTAGAACTACTACCACAGAATTCCTGCAGCTCTTTGCCTGGGGTAACCTGGGAAAAATGGTAACTCATTTTCTTAGTCCAATTTTTGAAGTGTAGACATACATCAAATTATAGCAAGTATCTAAATGTGTTCCTTAATATTAAATTTAAAACAAATACAATAGTTCATCTTATCTTAATATAGTTAAACTAATAAACTATTATGGACCAATGTTCTTACAGACATGGAGAAGTCCTCTGAATTTTTGGGGGTTTTTTTGTGTGGTTTTTTTTTCAGATAACTCTGGGAACTCCTTAAGACAAAATGAGACATCTTTACCACTCACCTTCAGAAAGGACTCCCATTAAAAAAGTTCTGTACTTCAAACTCATAGCCAACCTTGCATACCAGTATAATTACCCGAGTTTAACAATGTAAATGAACTTTCAATACCATACTTTACTAGATTAAAAAAACACCAAGACAAAACCTGACAAAAATGCCACAGCACATCCAGCCCAACACCACTTCTTTGGCATTAGAAGTCTTAAATTACTTTAAAAGCCTCCAAGATGTAATTAGATTAGGGTTCCACTATGACCCTTCTCAAACGGATTTTGTTGTTCCTCCTCCTCTGATGTTTTAAGTTTTTAGAGAGAAGAGTCATTATGAATGGAAAACAAACAAAACAGAAGAGAGCTCTGCATGCTGAAGGGGAAGTAAACTATTGGCATATGTTAAAAGAATGCGTGGAGTTCTGCCTGAGGTTCAAGATCCCACAGGATTACAGAGCGCATGTGGAGCACACTGAATGCAAGAGTTAGCAGTTGTGTTTGTAATTCAAAAGCACATCTTCCATTTTTACTAATAAGACAAATAAAACTGTCTTAGCCAGAGCTACTTTCAATGCTATCAGGTAGAAATACCTTCACTGTGAATTAAAAACACAGAAGATACAGCATAATGTGCAGCTTAGAAAGTAAAAGCAAGCCTCAGTCTTTTACGTTCCAGCAGACTTTGCATTGGAATGCAACTCAGTTGTGCTATGCATCGATATTACACAACTGTTGCCTGCAGCAAACAAGGGATTGAATGCAACACCCTTGAAGCTCCTTCCAGCCCAAGGTTAGTAGAAAGCAGAAAAATAATTTTAGTGAAAATGCACACGGTTACTACAGCAATTCAAATACAAGTTAGAGAACATTTGATTTTTACCTCAAAGCTTTTGCGTAAAGCATCAACGCCTAGGTAAAAAAGCATCTGCCACGTTTGTTCCTCAGCCCGCAACTTTTGCCAGATTCGGTGTAATCTTTCATAAAGATGAATACCCAGGCAGGTCAAAACTTCTTCTTGGGCTATGTCTATTGTCTTAGCATGCCTTTCTCTTCGTCTAAAGGAAGAGTTGAACCAAAGTATAGCATGGTTAAAGTAGCTGGAAGTCTACCAAGAGATCAAAGCAGTTCAATGACTTATTTTCTTTATGTACGACTGAAGATATGTTTGCATGAAGAGCTTTTTAAATCAACTTCCGCTGTGCTGCATGCAGATGCAAAATAGAAAGGACCAGGTCAAAACCATCACTACATTCCTGAGGCATTAATCTGCACAGGGCATTGCTAAGCTGCACTGTGCCTTCCCACCTGTGACTTCTGAAGGTGTTGCCACATCGGTCTCTGCTTGCTCCTACTAGGAGAAATCAGCAGTTTTAATGCCACTTTTGTTTCCTAGACAGCCACTCTTGTGTCCTAGAATTTTCATTTAGCTTATAGAGCAAATATTTCAGCTTATACAGCAAATATTTCAGCTTTCTAGACATTTATGCGTCTGTTAACTGAAGCTGAATAAACACAGAAGTTTATACGTTACTTACCGTACAAAGTAAAAATAGTATTAATCTGTATCTATCATCAGTTAAGGCAAAAACACTATTAAAGGATTTACCCTCTTAAGCAGCCGTGATCAAGTTCTGAAGATATTAGGCTCAGAACTGTATTTTTCATTGGAAGATTCTAAGATGCTAGAACAGGTTCAGAATTTACTATTATACGCAAATAATGAAAACTAAATTGAACCCTTAGCATTTGGTAAAACTGCCAACCAAGGTTCTCTTTCTATTTCGCATATTTTGAACATCTCAATGGAAAAGCAAGCAGCCCTAGTGAGTGAACAAATGAACTAGAAAACATTCAGCAATTTGTTTCAGTCCTGCCTTCAGAGTTAAATGCACTTTAAAGTCAAAAGCACATGTAAAATCTTTGCTACTTTGAAGCACTATCTTGCAAGCCTAGTTCTATATGAATATTTACATTCAGATGTTTCTTATGCAGCAAGGAGGCAAAAATCACTTTTGCAAAATACATTCAATAATAAAATAAAGAAGCAAAGCGCTAGATAGCCCACTCTAGCAAATTACATACTCATACCCTCCTGCGAACTCTGGTTCAGCTCGACCCAAGAGGTGTGCGATGAAATCTGTTTCACAGCATACGTGTATGTGGCGTTCATGGGGACAGCACCGCAAGCCCTCGTACAGTGCAGCGCAGTAGCCCTTCTCTTTGCTGCAGTCTAGCTCACCAATAAGAATATTGTATGCCCGAAGTACTTTATTTTTGCAGTCAGTGCAAAACCTGCGTGAGAACAGAACATAACAGAACTGAATTCTTCTTCAGGAAGAAATTTAGACCCGCTTAGTCTAAGTTATAATACACTGAGCTATTTAACAGTGCATGTTATATTTAAACTAGGTCATATAAGGTTTATGTCACTTCAAAAGGCAAAATAGTAAGACCTTGGCTGTGAGCCACATACATTTACTATATGTATTATACTACCTATCATATATTGCAAGTCTGGACATCAACTTTTATGCTCAAAGGCATAAATCAGGCTAGTTGTTAATATGAAGAGTTTTCTATATGAATGAATATGGAATTGCATATCCAAAGATCAGAAATCCAATAGTGAACAGACTGAATCATTAGTACAAGCCAGGACAAAATTCCTCTCAAGAAACACACTCCAAGTTACTTTCTAGCAATTATTTAAAGTATAGTCAAGTGAGCGATAAGCGGTAAAAAAAGTTTCCTCTGTTGTCTGTTGTATAAGAGCAATGTTTCGAGTACAAGCACCTTTAAACATAGTTTGAATTATTAGATTACTGCACAGATAGCCAAACAAGGTTTATTTATAGCACAATGTATTAAATTTAAACATGTGGTAGCTCAGATAACTAATATGAGAAGAGTATAGTTATGAAGTCTGTTATAATTAAAATACAGCCAAATTAAGCTGATTCTATTTTATGAGGAAGTAATCTTCAAGAAGCTACAAAACCTCTTGCTGTATTATTCTAAAAATGCAAGTCAGACAAGCTGCTCACATTTCAGCTTGAGAAGCCGGCTCTTCATGCTATCTCTGGATGGTGTTTTTCCCTTTCCTAGTTTGTCCCAGCACTTGACAAAACTAAGTCAAACATATTTTCATGTTTGATACAACTATGAGAACTGGCTAGTTTCTGTGGTAAAAGGGAAGAAAACAGAATTATTGCAGGTTAGCATCAGGAACGCTGCCAACACCATGTTTAATGTCACGGGAGATTAAAGTCATTTTGTTTCCAAAGTATTATTTCCACACCATCACCACTCCCGCACCCATCTGTGTCCCCACAGTTTATATCAGAACCTTGAGACCACTGGGAATTAAAACTTTAATCAGCATGGTAGCTACCATACACATGCAATAATAATTTAGCGGTCTATTTTTTTCCCTGCAAGAGAGACCTCATAGCACTAGCACTCCTAAGTCATAACCAACTGCTTTAAAACAGTGATTTACAAGTAACACCAAGCCTAAAATCTGCTTCTATTAGTTAGTTCACATTATTTTGAAATCGCACATACTCCCTGAAAGCCTAAAAAAGGCAAAGTGCCAAACAGAGTAGGCCATTTGCGAAAGAATAAAAGAATATACACAGTTTTAATATCTCAAATTTTAAATCAATTTAGTCCTAACAAAACAAATTAAGACAAGTAGCCATGACTTCTTCTCATGTCTCTGCATTTCCCCTACCATAACCTGCAACAACAGGTAAAACACAAAGAATATTTCACCATCTTAGTCTCATCAACTGTTACAAGATAATCTGGCAAGGTTCTCCATCACCACAAAGCTTAGATCTTAAGTTTTAGAAAGTATTAGAAGAATCCTCTACTTCAGACACACATTGTCTGAAGTTTACATACATTTTGATTCACAAAAAAATGCAGCGTGCATTTCTCAAAATGAAGGTGTGTCTCCGTTTTTTCAACATACCTGTGTTTTCGTAGGTACGTTTCTAATGTTTCTAGAAGACAACTAGAGTCAATTAAAACTACTTCGTCCCTGCATTCCTGGGACATGAGCTCCCACACATCCATCCAACAACCCCTGCAGAGAAACAAAACAAAAAAATCAAAACCAAGAAGTCTAATTCATCCTGCTAGGGATTCAGAAAAACAGCAAAATAAAGCCCCATCAGTTTACCTGACTGCTCCCTGGAAAAGTCCATAGTGGAAAGTGATGCTACACTTGCTCTCTTCCTTTCTGCTTTCTTCACTATTGTTCTTATCTGCACTATTTCTCTATACTGAGTGTGGTACTGCTCCCTTCACTGTCACATAGTATCAAAAAACATTTTTTAAAACTATACCATATATATTATGAACTAGTTATTGTCCTTAAACAAATGCTATGAAAATGCTGCCATGCTTCTTAATTTACTTTGAATCCTTTTTAAGCTGAGGCTTTAACTTTAAGTAAAGTTAGGGTCAGACATGAGATACAAATTTTGCTGTCCACGTTTATGAACTCAAATTCATAGCGACTTTTTAAAGTTACAGCTGAAAGCCAGCAGTAATTTTTCAGAATATTACCTTAAGTATAAAACAGATACAAGTTTTAATACTTCTGCCAGATTAAATTTCACAACTTACTAAAAAAAAAAACCCAAAAAACCCTAAAGGAAAAAAAAACAAAACAAAACCACACCAACCAAAAAAAAAAACTAAACAAAAACCACCCAGTAACTTCACAATGCACATTTGGATATGCTAACAGCACACTTCTAGAGCAAAGAACAAACTTTAAATAGCAATTCATGTTTACTTACAGGCTTGTCTACACTTGACATTTTATCAGAACCGGTCATTTCTGTTTAAGCTCACACATGGATACAGCACAGCAGGAAAACAGGGGAAGAAGCACCCCTATTTAGTAACTAGCTCCTCCAGAGTATCAATGTATGCTGTTATCTAGTTTGCCAGATCACATAACTTGCATTTATGAGAAGTTAAAATGCTCCTTAGCCTCAAACACAACCAAGTAGCCATAAACCAGGCACACTGAAACTCAGGACATCAAGTAGTTTTGAAGCGGTATTAGCTAGTTACGCAACTTGTATAATTAAACACACAATCACAATTCAGTCTTTTTTGTGTGCATAAAATGTCTCACAGATGCAGCTCATCTGAAGTTTCTTGTACTGAAGTCAAGCAGAAGCTCTAAGCTGATACATAAAATTTGTTCTGTAACACGACTATCTGATGCATTCACATCCAGACTGTTAGCACACTTGCGTCCACTGAAGGCAGCAGATTTATTTGGAGAAATATCAGTACTGATACCCATTTTTTATACTGCAGAAATGATCAGAGTGTATCGACTGAGCAAGCAGAGCACAAGTCATGTTTCTTCAGCAAACTACACCGATTGTCCACAAGCCATGTTATCAGACGAAGCGGAAAGCTTTACTTGCAGTATTTTAATATACTGCTCTTACAAATACTCCTTATGAACCTGCCACCATTTAAAATACTAACAAGAGTTATTCCAGCATGAATTGAAGAAATAAAGGCAGCATGTTCCCATCTATTAATTCAGATTCCAAATTATGCAGGTTCTGTGATGTATGTTCTTACGCAGAAAAAAACCTGATCTTACTAAAAACAAAGCAAAAAAATAACTTTTATAACGCTTTGAATTTGCTCTATTCAAAAAAAAATTACCCCATACCGCTATAATTTTTTGCTTGTGTAACATAAGCTTTAAACTAATTATATGAAAGGCCTGTAACCAAAATATAATAGGAGATAATGATTAGCTACCACTATCCCCAAGCAGTATAAGTAAAAATTAAGTGTCAAATTCCACATGCCTAGCATCTCAGGGGATTTATCTAAACCCAAAGAGACTCAAGTCTGCATAGAAAACTGTATGTCCTGTAACTGGAAACCATGATCAACCTTTCTCAGGTTGTATGCTTAACTAGAAGCAGAACACAACTGACTAAAAAATGTCCTGGACACTCCAGGTAAGCATAGGAGTCTAAATCATACACTAAAAAAAGTGTATCTAAAAAACACCCCACAAAAAAGAAAACCCCCAAAAATGCACAAGTGATTTACATGGGGTGTTTTTTGGTTCACCAGCTGAAATAAGTAATTTCAACTTCAAGACACAGAAGCATATATGTATCTTTTTCACTGCTGTATTCAAAACATGCTGTCACATTGAGAAAGTACATTTTACAGAGTTTTAGTTTTAGCCCTGCAGTCAACCACAATAAAGCCCTTTATTAACAGTTATGCAAGGCATTTTCAATAATCCCAAACAAAATGATGTATATTTGTTTAGCAAGTAGTCTTTCAATTTTATGTGAGAAAAACTGCTGATCAATCATTTTGGTGTAGAGAATAAAAACCAGTTTGCCTTTCTAAAGCATTGTTTGTAACACAATGCAAAAGCCATCCGTGCCTTGAGCAGAGTAATATACAAGTTACATCAGACAAGATATGAAAAGCACATCACACACAATCACAGAATATCAGGAGTTGGAAGGGACCTCAAAAGCTCATCCAGTCCAACCCCCCTGCCAGAGCAGGATCACCCAGACCAGGTCACACAGGAACACATCCAGACAGGTTTTGAATGTCTCCAGAGGAGGAAACTCCACAACCTCTCTAGGCAGCCTGTTCAGTGCTCCGTAACCCTTACAGCGAAGAAGTTTTTCCTTATGTTCAGGTTGAACCTCCTATGCTCCAGCTTGCACCCATTGTCCCTTGTCCTGTCATTTGCTATCACAGAGAAGAGCCTGGCTCCTTCCTCCTGACACTCGCCATTTACAAATTTATAAACATGAATGAGGTCACCCCTCAGTCTCCTCTTCTCCAAGCTAAAGAGACCCAGCTCCCTCAGCCGCTCCTCATAAGGGAGATGGCTCCACTCCCTCCATCATCTTTGTGGCTCTGCACTGGATTCTGTGCAGAATTCAAGCAGTTCCTGTCTTTCTTGAACTGAGGGGCCAGAACTGAACACAATGTTCCAAATGCGGTCTCACCAGGGTAGAGTAGAGGGGAAGGAGAACCTCTCTGACCTACAACCAAACCTTCTGATACACCCCAGGATGCCATTGGCCTTCTTGGCCACAAGGGCACATTGCTGGCTCATGGTCATCCTGCTGGCCACCAACACCTCCAGGTCCTTTCCAGCCACTCAACCCCAAGCCTGTAGTGCTGCATGGGGTTATTGCAACTGAAGTGCAGGACCCAGCACCTGGCCTTGTTGAAGTTCATACAGTTGGCCTCAGCGCATCAAAGAGCACTGGTTTGTAACAGCCAAGTTACCTTTTGGCAACTGGTTTTGAAATTAAATATGGAATGTTTTTATTAAAAAAACAAAAAAAGAAAACAAAAAACAAACACACAAAAAAAATCAAGGATCACAAAACACCCCACTACCTAGTAAAAGACCCAAAAGCCAAGAAGCAAAAACGGTGCAGGGAGAACTCATGTGTCAGTCGTGTAAAACAGCTGATTTCCTATGCTGCACAAAACTCCCGAGTGCCTCTGTCCCTCTTCCCCACAACTATGTGGGTCTACTAGAATCCAAACAGCTTGGAGATTACTACTCTGACAAACAGATAACAGCATAAGAATTTCTCTCAATGCTTAAAAATAAGTTAGTACCAATAGTTTTGGTTCCTTAAAATATCTGAGATTGAATTGTGCATGTTAAATGCAAACTTACCCCAAAGGTTTTGGTTTGTGTGTGTCCAGGGAGTGTAATTGACATCTCTTGTTCTTCTTACTTTTGGGAATTGCATCAATCATATCATTCAGTTTGGACCTATTTAAAAAAAAAGTAATTTAGTATTCTGAAAACATGGTTAACCAGAGAAATTTTAAAGGGATTGATTCAGCTCACATATCAGAAACAAGTATGCTAATGAACATTAAATATAAAGCTTTCTTCTTGTCCCCTATTTTCACTTGTTATCTAAACCAAATTTACTTTTCTGTTTCTGTTTTTACTGTTTCACTTGTTACATACAATCCTGCAGTACACAAGGAAAATACAGCACAGATTTTCCAAACAAATCCTAGCAAGCAAGATAAAGACAACCCACATCTAAGAAGCTATTGCATAACTTCATGAGTAACAGAGCTCAAGCAATGGCAACTATTTCCAAAGTGCAGGGAACCACTATGACCTCTTTATCAAGTTACACTACCTCACCCTCCAGATCTCAATATCCCCAGCTCTGCACTAACCTTTCCTACTTCCCTCTGCCCTGCTAACTGAAGCAAGAAGTAGAATGAGCTGAAGCCAACTGGAAGGCAAAAGCATACTGTGGTGAGCAGTCACTGTTTGGTCTGCTGACAGCTGAGAAACAAATGGCATCGAGACTGAGGCTATTTACTGTGCTAGCCAAACCCAGAAGGTTTCACTTTTGGGTAGAAAGGTAACACAGAGAGTAGAAAGTCTTGGGGGCAGGGGGAAGGGAGCAAGGGAAGGAGCGGGAAGGCACTAATTTTTAAAATTATTTTTCTTTTTACATGCAAAGTAGTGGGGCAAAAAAACCTTCTTCCAGAGATCAGACGAAACCCACAGTGCCTATTTCAGATTAATGACTAAACATTTAAATACTGGTATCTTTCAATTGCAATCATGGCATTGCAACTGATTACATGAAAGATTAAGTCTTTTGGGGTTGTTTTTTCCCCAGTTTAGTCAATAGTTAGTTTAACATGGCTGTAAAATACAAGTATGTACTATAAGACTTAAATCTCCAACAACTTAGTATCACCAAGAAAGCTGCAAAATCAAATGCACAGACAGTACCTTTCCTTTTCCCCAGATAAGAATAATCCAAGCACTTCTACAATACTTACCCGTGCACATAAAACAGTGTATAAAGCTTCTTTGCATCAGTCATACAGCTTCGAGTTACAGAGAGAACCCCCTTTGGCCCTACTGTTAGGGGCTCAAGTGCTGGATTTCCAGACTCAACAAGATGAGAAAACAGACGTTCCACACTACGACGGCAGCCAACACACGGGACCAGCTGAGAAAGCGCACTCAAAACTTCACGCGACGTCACCATCATGGCAATATTTAGATCCTGCTGTTTAAGCATGCCATGTCTCTAAAAAAGAGCAAGAAATTAAATAATTAATAAAAACAAAACCCAAACAACATATCACATGTTCAAGATTCCTTCACCTTCAATAGCATTTCCTTATCAAAATACACTTGCAGAAACCGTATGCAGTGCTCAGTTTCAGGTCACTGTCTAACTGTAGATCACTTGAAATACTGTATGAACAAAACCACACTTGCCAATCACAGGAGGAATTCTGCTTCAAGTCTTACAATCTACCCTCTAGAAAGAAACTGATATTTTCCTCCTCTTGTTCCTTCCTCCTACCACTCAAATCAGCAAACACTGCTTCTTAACAAATGGCACAACTCCCTGTTGTCAAGAAGCCCTTTTTTCTCCACCTCAGTGCAGATGTTTTAGTAAGCAGTCTCATACAACTCTACAAGTTTTCATACACTACTCACACTCATTTTATCTTTGGCATATAGAAAGGAAGTTTCTGGATGCTCACTGGCATATATGCAATCTCTTTTACAACAAGCTTGTTCTGTTCATACCAAGACAAATTAGCATTATTTTTCCTGGAAGGCTAGGTGCCATCTCCCGTTACAATTCTAATACCTGAAATTTTAAAAAGCACTCATTACTATTCAGGGTGAAATATTTTACTTCAGTAGTGAGCATGTAATATGTGCTAGTAACAGAACATTAAAGAGAACACCTTCTAATATTTCTTACATCAATAGTTTAAGGAGTTTCTCCTGGTTCCTCTGACAAACACATCCAGGCACACTTACACACTAAAAGCACATTCCTTTCTATTTCTTCTTCTAACTGCTAAATTACTGGCTTGGACTCCATTAATGCTGAACCACCACTAGCACAGCTGTGCTGAAGAGAAAATCCCTTCCTGACACACCAACCAACACATCTACACTTTGATTATCAGCGCTTCTAGCACTTCCCAATATCATCTGTAAAAGCACAGTCCTGTCAATACATTAGTTGTGAGCATCATTTTTCCTTGGTCATACGAAGTAGAGCTTTGTAAGCACAGTTGTATCTATACAGGGAATGTTTCACCACAATAGTATTTTCTGTATTATTGTCATATCACATCACTTAAACACTACCAATGTAGAAATCAGGAACGTTCTTTCAGGTAAAGAAAGAAAAGACCATACAACATAGCAAAACTAATCAATCTCACAGAATGTGTAAATACATCAATTGAAAAGAGAAAATATTTTCAGTCCATTTTATGTAATAAAAGTTATGAAAAGTAAAGCTACTATCAGATAACGTTTAAGGCTTGGCTCTTAAAGGCAGGCACATTAAATACTCTGACAAGTGCTATCACTCTGCAATAATCCTCTTTCCTGTAATTACTGGTACTAGTCACGGCAACAGCAGAAATAAGCTATTTGCACAACACAGCTATGCTTTATATGCAGCATATGCCTGAACTGCTGCTGTCAAACCACAAGTGAAGAGCAAGCTGCATATCAGCAAACTGGCCTGTTCCTTTGTACATTAAGTGGCATAATTTTTTAGTTGCTACAGGTGTTATGGTGCTATAGTTATTTGCCAGAGTGTTAGCAGATAAGTTCCTATTGTTAAAGCCTCAGGGGTACTACAAAACCCATCTCTCACTGTTCAACTACATATAATGTATAAACTGCCACGTTATTTCTATCTTGGTATGGTACTCAATCTTAAGAGCTCGATCTTAAGCAACGCACACTCTCATTTTAAAAAACAGTTCAAAAGTATTTAGAAAACAAAACAAAACGTATTTAGAAACTGCAGATTCCACTCAGTATAAACCAGCAGTGACCAGAAGCTGCATTGCTTTTACAGATTTTCAATTCTAACTAGACATGCAGCAACCGCCTCCTGACAAGACAACAGTGTGTAAGTGCTGTAAAATACAGAAAACGAATGCACCTGTGTACTTTGGTACCAACACTTTGGTAACTGCACGCAGATGCTGACGTGTCTCGAGTCATTCCAGGAGTGACAACCTCCTAGAGTAGTAAAAGCACGAATCTAAGGAAAACAAGGTCTTGTATCTGGCCTTCTTAAAAACCAGAAGGATGTATTTACCTGAATGAACTGTTTTAATTGCGCACCGTTATTCTGATGTCCATCGAGGTTTAGCACATTATCAGGAAATTCCATCACCATCTACACAAGAGGAGGGGGAAAAAAAAAAGAAAAAAGAGCTTTCAGAAAATAGTCAAAGACAGAGCATTAGTTTCTTTTACTTTCTTGGGGGAAATAAGACTGAAATTATGTTAAATGCTCATTCTTTTCACATAACTATTGGAAGCTTGGGAAAGGATAAAAGTAACAGTATAAGACAGTGAATGTTGCAGCAAGGTAACTAAATGTTTCAGTAATACAATGTTCTAGGGGCAGTTTATAAATGGCAACTCTATAACAGCTATTTAAGAGAAAGCTAAAGGGGTTAAATGGATCATCAGTATTTATATTACGCTATCTACATGACCTGAGACCCTCTTTCAGTTTAAAAAAAAATAATTGTACTTCAGTTATTCCAACAGCCAAACTCAATTTATAAAGCTATGAAGAAACAGTCACAACAGTTTAATGACTGAGTTGACTCCTTCAAAGGCTAATTTTAAACCGTATTAACCCAACAAGGTACTCCATGATGTACTTTGTTTTGAATGATTGCAGCTGCAACTCTCAAGAGGCTGAAAGTAAAGTGTTAAGCCTACAGAACAATGTTATTACTTGTAAGTAATTAATAATATTTCTTTTCAAATTACTGAGCAACAAACAGGGCAATTTCTTAAGGGGTGGGAAAATCAGTAAAATAATTTTCATTCAAAAATTCAACTTTACAACCATGAAGAAAAATGAAAGCAACTACAAAAATGTGTAAAAACTGGCTTAGTAGATCTTCTTTGTCTAAACTGAGAAATACAGAATTTGTCAATATGAATACTGAAAGTTCACTCTAAAATCTGAAAGACAAAGTAACAACTTCTAATACCAATCAACACCAATCGACACCAAATGAAATTGTCCAGTTTACCGATTTTTTCTCCCTGCACCTTCCCTCAGTTGTCTGGTAAAGACAGAATTTCTGCTGTCTTCCTAATTGTGGACACTACCTCCAGAGAACTCGTACATCTACTTCTCCAGGCACTCAACGTTGCTCCAATATAAACATCTATTCTCTGAGGCCAGAAAGCAAGGCAATATTTTGATCTCACATGTGCAAGAATGGGAACATCAGCACAGCCGCCTTATTTTTGTGCAGAACAGTGCCACAGTCAGTGCCAATGCTGACCCCTCATGCATTTCTTTTCCAGTTTCCCTGGCCTCTGACCCATACACACACACACTGAGCAGCAGCACAAGTTTCTGCTGCAAAATTACAGGTTTCCTACATTGCTAATTTGATGTTTCTATGAGGAATAAGCTACATGCAAAAGTAAAACCTTTGTCTGCTAATAACATAGACAAGAGATAAATCTGCAAATTTTTTCCCCTCACCTTCATCTCCCACTATCAGACAACACCCTTAAGTGTTTCATACAACAGAGTGAAATTATCAAAGATTAAATTAATTCATGTGTCTGATGAGATTTTATTAAGTGGTTAAACATCAACCACGATCACACCCTGAACTGGATGAAAAAATTCCCGTAACACCACATCAAATGCAATGCCTTCTAGAAATTATAAAAGCTGCTTAAGAAATGAAAAGGGTTAAATATTTAAACTTCCTTCAATTTCTACTTGAGCAATAAGAAACTAAAAAGTATGACAATGAAAGATTAATTTAGAGGAGTGGTATCACATCGCACCTAAACAGCTTTCAGTGCCACTACAAAGCAATGTTGTCAGCTGAAGAACATTATAGGCCACCATTCCATCACTAATTTGCAATCACTGATTCACCATTTCTAGATTTAAGGCATAGATTAAGTCTTCCAGCTGACTAACAGAAATGAAGTAGCCCCATTATTTTTAAAATTTGAGTTTTAGAAGAGGTCAACAGAAGCCAGTTCCTATCAGCAAAACCACTATTTTTTACATATAATGCTGCAGATGTAAAATTATGTTTCAATGACAACTGCATGTATTTAAGACAAATTATAGAAGACTGAGACATGGAAACTGAGAGTTCACTCACTTGCTTCTGTGGATTTATTTAATAAAAGCCTCCAGAAACCACCTAGAAATCCGAGTACTTTGTAACAACAGAAATGGACCCGAGATAAGATTTCTTCGCAGTGAGGATGACTTGCACTTGCATAGATGCCTTTTACCCTGATGGATACAAGACTGATTTACAGCTATAGGAACCTCTTTGACCATGTGTATGGCTTGCCTCTGGTGTAAAAAGTAGAAGAATAGCGACAACACAGTGCAATTGCACAAAGTTTGGGCCTGGCACTAAATTCTGGAACTAAACCACAAATGCAATTTTAGGTCAGTTGAAGTCATCTACCTGATGGCTGGTATAGCCGAATTTTCACTCTCTCAGCCTATTAAATACAACAAAGGTAACAAGAGCATGGTAAGTCTTCTACTCAACACAACCTAATGAGTAATTTTTACTAAGGAGCCCAGAAAAAAAATACAAAAACCAAACAACAACAAAAACCTTGCACTATTCCTACACATTGATGTGTTTTCTGGGTAATCAATCATTATTCCAGGAGAGCTAGACATTGCTTTGGACAACTTAAGAGGAAACTTCGCCTAACATATAAGCAGAGTTAACCACAGATGACAGACTATGTGAAGCCAAAAAATAGTGATGATATTTGGTAAATTAATAATACACCCTCATTTAAAACTATCAAAACTAAAACACAACAAAAACTTTCTATTCAAATGTAGCTAAAACAGAAGGGTTTGAGATCAATAACCTCTAACTGTGGGATGGAGTGCTAAGAGACTGCCTGAAGGTACTCAATTGTTATGTTCTGGAAGGCGGAAGAAGTTACAAGTTGATCACATTAGCTGATTCAAGTCAGGCATTCTCCCATACTAAAATGTGAGATAAGGAATTTAAAGCACATCCATTTCACACCATCTAAAGTAACTGCTGTTACTGTCACACCACTAACAGCAAGAGAAACCAAATAAAAATGATTAAGATAGCCAGTTACACTAAGTCAAATCTAATCTTCAACCCAACATTTTCACACCTTTAAAACAAATGACAATGGGCTAGTCAAAAAATTTTTACCCATTTGCTGTGTTCACCTACGATGCAATTTCCGAGTCTTCCTCTAAATACACAAGAAAGAGAAGAGACTAGAGAGCCTCCAAGCTGCACTTAGTTCATTTTTCCACTGAATCTTCTGGAAATGGCAAAACCCTCATGTTTTTCAATCCAGAGTAACGTACTAAAATGGAAACTCTCTCAGATTTGTTACTGTAGCCATAACAGCACATTATTACAGCCTTGATAACCCTTACTTTAAGCCAAAGCTTTCAAAAATACCTTTAGCCTTTTCTTGCCTATATAAGACCATAATAATTACCTAGTTGTAAAACCTAGTGTTTAACATTAATATGGCTCCTTTCCTTCTTAACTGAAAAATGGCTTTGCTCCGCATTTGAGCCTGGGCACAGAGACACGCTTGTCACTTGAAAACAAGTTACACGCAGGCCCCGATACAGCAATAACTTTGTTATTACGAGGTTGGCATGTTTTTAGAGCTAGGAATCAGATAAAGAAAAAACAAAAGTTGCCACATTAAGCGCTGTTAACCCGAAGTGTTGCAAAGTCCCAAAGATTAACGCTGCAGGAGCAAAGCAGGAGCCGAGGAGGCCTGCCCTGAGAGCAGGCCTCGCCTGGGAATTGCAACACCC